TTCTTCATTGTTTCAAGTACACTATCTGCATTCAATAGCCCGACGGTTAGATCTAATCTATCTCGCCAATACATGGGGTGATACTGAATCTGTGGGTTTGAATTGCTTCAGAGAGTGATTTTTTTTTTTCAACAAATCAAATTTTTCATCTTAATTTACTATCAGCAGTGGCATTTTTTTTTTATTAGTTTGGCCTGTTTTCGGCCCCTAATATTTTCTAGAAACGTCATCAGACATAGGATCGGGTTTGGTTTTAGAATTCCAAAAAACACAGAGGTTAACGTGAAATAGGAATGATGTAAAAAGCTACAAATTAGCCCGATACACGTCCAAAGTCTAAAAAGACGCATTGAAACTCTCTTTTAGGGCAGTCGGCTGGAGCAATGGGAATTTTGATGCGTTTTGCTTGTTAACCTCGAACAAATGGTGATAGTGGGTTCTACTCTGGGTCGTTTTTAAAAATCTGGAAAATTTGAATAAGTAATCTTCCTAATTATTCTAGTGACCCAGCTGGAAATGATGTATGGATAATCCGGCAACGATCAACGACAAAAGTTTGGATAAAGACAAGCTGGTTAAGAGGATCCTGGAGAGGCTTTGTCCCTTCTTGAATTGTTTCATAACCATCAATTACAAAATATCAAGGGGGGCAAAAATAAATTTGTTTTTGTGAAAATGGTTATTACTGGTTTTTATGTTTGAAATAATGGTTTGGTAGTTAAAGGGACAGATGCGCCATTTTTTTTTACTATTCGTACCTTAGTCTCAGAAACGGGAATTATTTTTTTTAGCTAAGTCAATCAGTAATAGTGTTCACAGCTCGACATAAAATTTGAGCCCTCAAATCCATGTGTGTCTAGAATTATCCGCATTTGAAAGTTAAAAAGACGAGTCGTCTTTTCATGAGGCATTTTAGCGATAGGAAAGAAATTCCCATTTTTGAAGGAATTGTGCGATTTTTGTACATTGCTAGTATTTCTGAAGTCCATAAACATATATTCAAGACCCCCACCCCCCCCCCCCCCCACCCCCCCAATAAAAAAGGGCGCATCTGTCCCTTTAAGTCACACTTAAAATGCCTTGTTAACTTTAATATCGGATTGAGTAAGTTTTGGGGTAAAAGTTTAAGATTATATAAGTGATTAAGCATGAGGCGTAAAAAGCGAGGTGATCGGTTCTGACATGTAGTCTCCCTAATCAACTTAAAATGTCGAAATAGATATCGTCGCCAACATTGCTAAGGTTTACTGTTGTATGGTTAAATGAAGCGTTTCATACCAAATTTTATTACTTGATGAACATTGATAAAGACGCGTGGTGAACTTTTATTACCTCTGTTCGATCAAGGTCATTGAATAGATGTTTGGATTGTATGAACAACTTCATAATTTGTTTGTTGATTTTTCATTGTTTTCTTCTGTTCTTATCTGGAAAAAGTGACGTTTGTTTAGAAGAGCGATCACTTGTCTTTTGTGGTTTGGAAATGTTTAAAATCGGACAATTTTAAGCATCCTTGTTGGTGTTCATGTATACTCGAAGGTAAGCTCTTTCAATCTACAAAAAAATAATTTCTGTTTATTTCATTGCAAGCATAACCCAGCAGATGCTTACAGTGAATTGTTTAGGACACCTAATACCCCTCTGCGACAACGTTGTTCAACTCGACCAGCAGTTAATGGTATAATTCATTTAATATTCATGAGCAATAATTTGATATTAGAACGTTTTAGTAATGACCCCATTAAAGTCAAATCTTAAAATAGTTTACCAATTGGTCCAAGACTGGAAAAACGTGTTGGGTCATTTCCACAAGTTAAATGCAGAATATTTCGATTCAAACAAATTAATACTTATTACTCTTCGAATTGTTGGCCGAGACATCACATAAGAACAGATTGATAGCAATAGATACTGTGGTGGGATGACTGGCGAGACAGGACTTGATCATTCACTTTCAATTTCTTCCGTGTTCATGAGATAGCATCGATCTTTTCAGTGAGAGTCAATCATGATAAACCAAATCCGGGATATTGTCTGGTGTATTTCTGTGGGTGGCTTCCTGTCGTACCGGACCTATTTGATCATAGCCCCGTCACGAATGACTGCGACAAACGTGAAGAAAACGTGAGAAAAGGTCCCTTGAAATTACAAATTTTACAACAGTTGCTATCAACCTGCGATGTATGCGACAATATTGCGTTCCGAAGTTTCTTTAAATCTACGAGCTTGGTACACATTTTTATTGGCCTTATGGAGATGTAAAGATATTCTTGATTCCGTGGCGACCTCAACGGCGATTATTGGCGACAATGGCGCCTAACGTAAGGCCTCTGACGCTAATATTTTGTGGCCGGAGCAGTTCAGTAAGGACGCCTTTCCGGTGTGGTGGGGCTCTCATCAATGTCTGACCAGACGATTTCAGACCCTTTCCCTTTTCACACAAAAGTATTTATTTACCACGCTGGCTATTTTCACCGTCACAGTACGTGTTCTCTATGGCTGCTAACAACTGTACGGATAAGACAGGACACAATAGGCCTTGTTTTTTTTTTAAAAGCGTGAAGCCATTTTGATTGTCAAGAATGATATTAAGTGACTTTGTTGTTAGGTAGGGAAGGCCATACGTTTTTTAATGCCCATTTTGTACCGTTCCGGTGCGAATAGCCACAGCCTTTATTTGTATATAGTTGTACAGTCATTTTACAAAACGAATGAGTCGGCACTTTATGACGTACTAGTATAATATATGTATTATTGTTTAAACTCCTTTAAATACTACTGGACCATTTACTATACAAAGGATCAGCTACCATAGCATATATATATATATCATATATCTTAACTGCTGAAACGTATATGACCCTTAGTTATAGACCTTGAATACAAAGTTAATATTAAGATAGTTCTATCGTATATCTAGAGGTCTATATGTAATGCAATGACTTAAAATGATAGATTTAAGTGGTAAAAATCCAAAGTTTGTATCTACGGTGGTTTCTTTTTACTGAATTATCATTAAGCCAACATACATAGAAAATAGTAAACAAATATGATAGTTTAGCAAACAAAAATGAAAAATAAGAAGTAATAAATCGCAAATAAAAAATATTAATTTGCCCTAAACAAACCACCGTATGGATCCAATGCACCAAAAAATATTACGACCAATTTTGTATTGTATTTCTCAATGTAAAATTACACTGTCTTACGAAAAATTCTATAAACAGACATTTTGAGAAGCGGGGACCTGATTTTGCCGACCTTACAAAATCCTATTTCTTTATTATTTTTTAGTTCATGATATTAGACCCTATTACGCTATTGAAATAAAGGGTTGATTCATAAGATATAGATATGACTCAAATTGATCACGAAATATCGTCATACAGCTATGACTTCATCAATCCGGTTCTTTATATATATATATATATATATATATGTATATATATATATACATACAGCTGAATTATAACAAATTGTTGTCATTTAGCCTTCGGATTACTTTAGAAATCTTTGAAAATTTACCTTGAGGATGGTAAGTATGATGGCATAATTAAAGGGACAGATGCTCCATTCTTTTGACTAATCATACTTTAGTTTCAGAAACGGGATTTTTTCTTAGCGAAGCGAATCAGTAATAATGTTCATAGCTCACCGTCGAAATTTGATCTTCTAAATGCGTGTGTTTCCAGAATTTCCTGGATCTTTATTGAATTTGAAATTTAATGCTTTTTATTCTGTAGCTGGTGGCATAAACGAAACATAAAATTCTTTACCTTTCAGAACACCTGTTGCCATTCGCAAGTATTTCCATAGGTCTAGTCATCATGAATTTTTTAATCTAACGTCAAGTTTGCTGCAGGTAGCCTATCATTCATTACATTTTGATAATGTAATTATGTACGAAAATAAATAATGTAATTATGTACGAAAATAAATAATGTAATTATGTACGGAAATAAATAATGTGATTATATACGAAAATAAATAATGTAATTATATACGAAAACAAATAATGTAATTTTGTACGAAAAAAAAAAATAAAAACCCTTTTGATAATTTTTTTTTGTACAGTTCGGTTAATTCTAAAGACTATTTACATATATTCATGGGCCAAATCTAAAACCCAAAATGGCGATTATTTGCTGTGTGATATGGGGATTATAACCTTCAAAACAGTGAGAATGGAGAATGACTTAACGTCCTTAAAAATGTGTTCTGTATTTTTACATTTATTTATTTATTTATTTTTTTATTTATTTTGAAGTGAACAATAACTAACATAAATTTGCCAGTGCAATTCTTAACGTCGTTTGTGACATCAGTAAACCTGTCATTGAGATAACTAAAACTACACTACACACTACACTATAAATTACTTTTCGACAACTTTTAAAATCAAATATCAAAGACCTATTCAATTCAATATGCAATTGACGACAAAACAAACCAACTCTTTTTCTCTCATAGTAAAACATACATAGTTATTCAAGATAACATACACACACTAGTAATAGTAAGGATTTATAGGGGAAAGAGGTAATAGTAAGGATTTATAGGGGGAGAAAGGGTAATAGTCAAGAGTTATAGGGGAAAAGGGTAATAGTAAAGATTTATAGGGGATGTAATATTAAGGATTTACAGGAGAAAGGGGCGTAAGAAAAAACCTGAAAGGGGGTAACATACAGAAAAGGGCGAAAACCACTGAATTAGAACGATTAGCAAAACGGCGTCCATCACCAGTATAAAATATAATTTTGGGGGGTTTTCGATAGTGTTTATCCTTGAAATATACAAATTCACCAAGTTTATAAAATCGGTCAAGAATTGTAAAATTCAGAATGTTCATTTCATGTTTAAATAAAAATGTCGTAGATATTGTTATCTCCCTTTAATAAAACTTTATAATCACACTTGGCATAGTGAAATGAAAATGAAATGAATGAAGTTTTACGTTCTACTTTTCTACACCTTGTGGGCTAATGAAGACGAGCAACGACATGCAGGGTACAATGAGGGAAACCGGGTTGAAAAATCCAAAGGTATTATCTTGACCTATGCCGGGATTGAACCCTGGACCTTGAAGTTAGCAAGCTGGCATCTAACTAACTGAACTACCGCGGCTCCCACTTATCTTCTATAGGGTTGAACATATATGTAATAAAACGAAATATTATCATATCAACAATATCCTTAATTTCTAGTTGGGTAGGTTAGTATGTGAGATTTTTTAAAAACCCTATAAATCTTTAAAGTGCAATCCTCAAATATATGATCGAATAAAAATGTTCGTTCATGCCAGTTGGTGAAACTCTAATTAAAGGGATAGATGCGCCATTTGGGGAGGTTGATTTGAGTCTTGAACATATTGTTTTAAAAATACAATACTCTTAAGTTTTCACTTATTCTTAAATTTATATTTTTATTAACTGATGTTTTGCAAAATTTTTAAAATATTTGTGAGATTGAGATGTATGTGCTACGCAACTATCGAATCATAACAAAAATACAACACGTCTAACGTTTATATATTTGTTTTCTTTAGTCTAGGGAACAAAAATGAAAAGTGAAGACGAAACGAAGGTTTTATCTAAAGAAGAAATGAGTGAGATTGTGGTTGAGAAGAAACAATCAGTATCAGCAACACCTGCTACTGAAAGCCCTCCAAATGGAGGTGGTTCACCTGATACTGATCAGCGAGTGAAAGACAATGCAGAAGCACATGCTCTGCCAGATACCGATGAAGATGTAGCGAATAATCTAGACAAGGTTGTAAAGGATATCAAATATACAAAACCTTTGAAACGCAGAATAACTTGGAATGACACCAATACAATGTGTGTTGACGAACCACTTCCGGATGACAACCACACCACCAGTATTGCCGAGGTTGCTGTTAATATAGAAGATAAAAGTGAACAGGAACACGTCTGTCCCGCCCTTGAAGATGTCGCCAATGTTAAGACGAATGGTTCAACAGGACATACTGTTCAAACTAAAGACAAAACACCATCGGACAATCCAGAAAATAGCTTGTAAGTTCATCTAAATTTTCATTGAATTTGTACTTAAAATGCGAAAGTTAAAAATTGTTAAAACGTTGCTATAGCTGCTGACAATGCATAAACGTTCATTTAAAGGAATTGTAAAGAGGTTTTCTTAATTCTTTATGTGTATCCAGGACGCTGATAGCATCGATTTGCACCATTCCAATTTTCAATCAAATGTCTGGGGTTCCTGCAATTCCACTAAAACTTGATTTTTATGACGTCACTGATCGAGGGCCTTTGCGATTGGTGACGTCATCAAACACTTAGTTTTAATGGTACTGCAAAATCCACAAACATCAGATAAAAAATTTAAATGGTGCAAAATGACGCTATCAGTGTCCCCGATACACATATAATTTTTAAAAAGCTTTCTACAATTCCTTTAAAAACGTCGTGATAGCTGCTGCATGGATGTACATTGCTGACTTGACGTATTGAAACGTTTTTATGATTAACAAAATCGAATTAGCCACCGATTTGTCCCAAAGCAGTTACACCATTTCATTTGTTTTTTGTGATGTCTGGTTTTATTAAGAGCTTCAAATGTTGTAAATTACCCGTAGGTCTTCTTCTGAAAAATCAACTCCGAAAGGGTCAAAATTACACATTTGTTGTGGAAATATACCTTTGTTCATTGTAAAAATGTAATGGTATGGAAAGAGTAGGCCATCAAATTGCATAAAATGCATGATTTAAACCCTTTCTTTTCAAAAAATAAATTCCCTGTGAACAACACCCCCCCCCCCCCCCCTCCTCCTTAAAATGGATTGGTGTTTGTCAGTCCTATTCTAAAGTTATGCAGCCACCACTGATAATAATAACATAGTGGGTGACTAGGGTAATGGACTGCTGTAGTTTTGTACCTAACGTACTAATTTAGTCTATTTATACCAATCAAAATACTTTAGATACTTTCCACTTTTAACTTTTACTACCTTTAGTCATCTCAGCATGCCAGTTGGGTTTAAAGGTATGCTGTCCCATAAAAATTATTATTCTCGCTGCCCCGACAATCCATAGAAAAAAAAAGAAAGAAACAACTTAGCTTCCTTTCTGTCCGCTGTTACTTGGCCAAATATAATATTGGCATTGATCTTTCCCTGATTATCCCCACACATTCATAGCTTGGTCGACTGGATGACCGAGTGAAAATGACTCAAGGTTATCGGACTTTTACACGCAGACACCATTTGCCTGACGTAATCAACGATGTCATGTAATGAACCAATGCTCTAACCGACAGTTCTATAGATATTAGTGGTAGAAGATTTGAATTAGTTTTCCAGTACATTGCATTCAATATCTAATATTAGCTTTGAAGGGATTGTAAAAATTATTATGAGTATCGGGAACAGCATCAATTTGCAACATTCCAATTTTTAATCAGACGTCTGTAGTTCTTCCAATTCCACTAAAAGTGTTTGATGACGTCTGTTTGGATATTTGAACTAATGAGCTATTGGATAAGGATTACTTAAGAAAAATCATTCACAAGCTCTACGCAGAGTGTATATAATATAATAACAAAAAATCTTCACTGTTAAAACAGTGCTAATTTCATGAATTGTGTAGCCAGAACACACTGTGTACCAGATTACTAGGGATATATACCTTTGAACTTCAAACAGATCACCATAAATTTTTATTGCAGTCAATCAGATACGCAGTGGTTACAATGGGTACAAAACCAGTTTAACAATTTAGCCGGCAATGAAGGACATATCACATATAAAAGATTTAAGTCGGTTTTAAAAATCAAAGAGGTAAGTGCACTTTAGTTAATCGGTGGATTAAATTTTGACCTTTTTTATTTAAAATTTGACATATTTTGGTGATAAAATCTGTATCTAACATAATCGATTATACAGTGGGACTGAACAAAATGCGTCTATATCATATGAATTGACGTCTGCCATTAGCAAGAGGTTTCATTGTACACTGTATTGCCTGTCGATATTGATATATTTCTATTTTGATTAAAATCTTATGTAGTTGATAATGGATCATTTGGATTTTCATAGACATAACTACACATAACTACTAATTTAACTGAAACGTTTCATAATCGGTATAGACGGTACTTCAATGATTATAATCATGACAAATTCGCAGTCGGCTACACCAAATGAAATATTTTAGAAACCACATAATACTTCAATGATGAAACTTTGAATTTAGTATTAGTTTTTGTAGCGTCTGTTAACGACATAGAAGATTTTGTGTTTGAATAAACACCGTTTTATGTATTTATCTCCCCCTCGCTAATCTCCTTTTATTGAAACAGAAATTCCACGCACATGTAAATACATATTGAGAGAAATTGACGTCACACCGCCTGGTAATTTATGTCTGCTTGACAAACGTTACGTGTTTTGACTCATTTAGCTGACCTTGATGCATTCGAAATGTTAGTAGTCTTATTTGGATTTGATTTCGCTTTCTAAATATTTTCTTGAAATACAACTTTGTTTCGGATCCCCCTTCTCAGTGTTAACGTACTCGCGGTATAGGTCCCGTGGACACAAACTTTTTTTCATACTTAGCCGAGATTGTACTCAAAGCAGCAAGTATTACAGGTGCAAAACTGATTGTATCAAACAAACAAATATATCAATCTATTACTTATTGCACAATATTTCTGGCATTATCACATTAATCTTCAAAGTTTACCTTTTCTTGATGCGAGGGGCATTCGAGTAAAAACTGAGCATGAGAAAAGCTTGCTCGTTATAACATTACTTTATTTTGTGTTCAAATTAAAAAGCGCATTTCCACCAAAAGTTCTACCTCCTAGTACATTTATTCAACATTGCTCACCCCCTTTTGGTAAATGTTGCCGTTCACGGGGTCGAGAAATATTTGCCAAACACATTCCATATTGTTCATATATGAAAAGATTTCCGTTTATATGAAGAAAAGTTGTGTGTATGTAACAGAGAGAGACAATAACAGTGATAATCGACCAGTGGACGTGCCTCATCATACAAAATAAATTGAGACATCGACAACTCTTTGAATAGGATTTATCTGGACAAACATTTCTCTTTGTCATCAACAAATACTTTAAGATTGAACCATGAAAAGCATTATATTCAATGAGAGCTGCTAATATAGAGCGTTAAACCCCCTCTTCAGAAGTGAAAATCGACAACAATCTGGAGGATTAAATGCGATTTTTCTATAGTAAATTAATTAAAATGTGATAGTGCCTCGAATACCATTACGTATAAGTATGTTATCATTTTGATCATTTCAGTCCTTCTTCGCCGAGAAATTTTTTGATTTTTTTGACAATGATGGAGATGAGAAGATACAGTTGTTTGAACTAATGGATGGATTAAGAACGTTAACTCGTGGTTCGACCACTGATAAAATACGATTTCTCTTCAATCTATACGATCTTGACGGTAAGTGTCTTCACTTTAACGATTATATTTTCAGAGAAGTTCCTGACGAAAATGCTGGTGCGTTTGGCCGTCTTCATCAGTCCAATGTAGAGCAGAAAAGTAGGATACACACTTGATTTTTTAGGTTTGTTTTCGGTTGTAATACCCTATTTTGATTGTTTATTAAGTCATTGGACGATGTTTCAAAAGTAAATTTAAAATACGTCAGAGTTTGAATATTTGTTTTGTAGGAAATGGTCACATAGATATAGATGAATTAAAAACAGTGCTACAGTCTTGTGTTAATGAAAGTTCTCTGAAGATGAGTGAAATCGATGTTGATAGGTTAACAGAAGTACTATTTGATTCTGCTGATACAGATTGTAGCGGTGAAATCACTTTTGAAAAACTGCAGACTGTTCTAGAACAACATCCAGAGGTCATGAAGAACCTTACAATCAGGTAAAAATGATCTAACTTAAAGGGGTTGGTGCGCCATTTTGGTGGTTGATTTTAGTCTTGAATATATGAATAATCTTCAGAAGTACTGGAAATGTAGGAAAATTGCATAATTCTTTCGAAAATATATCGATCTAGGAATTTCACTCATTATTTCTATATATGTCTTTTCTATATATCACAGAATATCTAAAATTGACGAGTCGTCATTTTAACATTCAAACGTGCATAATTCTGGACACACATGGATTTGAAGGCTCAAATTTCGACGGTGAGCTGTGAACACTATTACTGATTGGCTTAGCTAAAAAAATTCTGCCCCTTTAACCTAAAACCAGTGTTTGTTATTATGGAGACTCTTCTGGACTCCTAATTACCAAGGGCTTCCCAAATGTCCATTCCATATTTCCTACTTAGATTTCCATCCACTGGAAACGTATAGTAATGTATAGTAGTTGCTGGTGAACCTTTCTCTTAAGTACACTTGCATCTTCACAATAGTTGGTAAATATAGCGATTTGATTGGATTGTAGGCTACTAAATACATCTAATCAGAGCCCCCGAAGGGCTGTAAACCATAATGTAGAGGAATCTGATTTGGTGTATTTACAATCAAATTGCTGCATTCCGTAATACAAGAAAGGTGGTATTGCAGTCAAGGTATTAGACACAGTTTGTAGCTAGACAATGTGAAGATGTACACTTTGAGGTTTCAAATCATTACAATGAATGATCAAAACAACGCTTTTTCTATGAAAATATGAAAATTAGATGAAAAAATGCACAGAGTTTCATCCATGACCGCTTATATGAAATCGTTAAAGTAAGACCTGGGTAATATTCTTAAAAATACGGTGAACTATTTTTCACGATCAAAGCAAGTAGATAAATCTATAAATACACAAACATTTGGATAAAACTCAGACATAAGGCAAGGCTTTGTCATTGTTTACAAAATAGTCCATTGTTTTCATTTTGTAGCTACCTTAACGAATAACAGTGAAATTATTATTAGTCTGAAATACCTAGACTATTACTCCAAATTAAATACTAAGTTATATAGTCCTCCAAATATATATATCTTATACTGATAGAGCGTACTTTCTGCTATTTGTATCACTTTGCAGAATGCAAGTACTTCATCTGGTTCGTATGCAAATCAAGAGAAACGGATTGATAGAATTGACATAAGTCAAGTAGGCCTATGGCTATTCATGCGTTTTTTTTTTACATTTACATAATCATATGCAGAAAGTAAGAGAACGGATGGTGCAATTTTCCTTGGTGTATTCGGGTCTTGAATATTATGTAAACAGTCTTCAGAACTATACAGAAATGTACGAAATAGCATTTTTCCTTCAAAAAATCACAAACTAGAAATTTCACTTTCAATTGCTATAAATGTATTTTCTAATTGTGTCAAAAAATGACGAGTCGTTTTTTTAATTTACAAACGCGGACAATTCAGGTCACATAAATGGCTTTGAAACCTCAAATTTCGACGGTGAGCTTGGTTAAAAAAAATCGGTGTCTGAGAATAACGTACATTGGACAAACAGATGGCGAACATCTTAACAAAATTAATAAATTATAAAAAAAATGTTTAATCAGTGCAAACATTTGTTTTAGAACACTAATATTAATTTTTGCTGAATTAAAGGGACAGACGCGTCATTTTTTGGATCAATTGTTCCTTAGTCCCAGAAACAGAAATTTCTTTTTGCTGAGCCAATCAGTGATAGTGTTCACAGCTCACCGGCGAAATTTGAACCTTTTCAGATACTCTGTGATTTATAGAAAAGACAGAAATAATTGCGAATTTCTTACATTTCTAGTACTTCTGAAGACTATTTACATATTATATTCAATACTCAAACCAACCTGTCCCTTTACTGATTTAACATAAGTATCTGTTATTCAATTTCCAAGGTCTACATTTATTCAAAATAACATATAATTTGCTTTTATTATTTTCAGTGCTGCAGAATGGTTAAAACCAAGCAAAACCGAAAAGAAACGAGAATTACCAAGATATCTTCAATCTAATTATATCAGAAATAATCTCAAGAAAATTATTTTCTTCATCATTTATTTTATGACGAATATCGGATTGTACGCTTATGGTGCATATAGTTACCGCGAATCGAATAATGCTATAATAATAGCACGGGGTAGTGGAATGTGTTTAAATTTTAACTGTATGTTTGTACTTGTGTTGATGTTAAGAAAATGCATCACGTGGTTAAGAACTTGGCAATATGTCTATTGTATATTACCCCTGGATCAACATATACTTTTCCATAAAACCACTGGAATAATGATAGCAGTCCACAGTTTAATTCACACTATGGGCCATATTGGCAATGCAGGTGAGATGATTAGTACATATATTTTAATATAAAGGAAAAAGGGGGGGGGGCTTTTTTTTTGCCTTTCTGAGTTTAAGGTACGATTGGTCAATTGGATGAAAAATTAGCCCCAAATTTCGTTTTGTTTTTATTAGTTTATAGATTTAGTATAGCCACTTCAGAGTAAGGTCTGACGACCGGACTCTTGAACATTGTCAAAATAGCTCTGACCATTCCACTCGGACTTTTTTTTTCAGTTATTGTTTCTGAAACGAATAATATCACCGCCGTGGAAGTTATATTTACCACAAAGGCTAACCTAGGTTGGTTACTTGGTTCTGCACCAATAACTGGGGTCCTATTATGTCCAATATTAATAGTTATGGTGATTTGTTCCATGTCCTTTGTCAGAAGAAGTGGTCATTTTGAGGTAAAATCAGTTTTTAATTATTATTTATTACTCAGAGGCGACAAGAAAAGTAGTATCATGTTCTCGCTGTTATAATAAGTGGCTATGTAGCTAGTATATTTGTGAAAGCTATTGCTATGTAGCTAGTACATTTGTTAAAGCTATTGTTATGTAGCTAGTACATTTGTTACAGCTATTGCTATGTAGCTAGTATATTTGTTAAAACTATTGCTATGTAGCTAGTACATTTGTTACAGCCATTGCTATGTAGCTAGTATATTTGTCAAAGTTATTGCTATGTAGCTAGTACATTTGTTAAAGCTTTTGCTGTGTAACTAGTACATTTGTTAAATCTATTGCTGTGTAGCTAGTATATTTGTTAATCTAACCTGTACTCTTAGTTCTGCCGTCTGTAAAACTTGCGGCTGGGAACTGCTCAACAGCTTACAATTCTTGGTGATAGGACTGCAATAAGTCTGCAATTCTGGCTTCGATTTGAGAATTCGCCGCGATCGGGCGATAAAATACGCTTGTCTGCCCCAGTATTATGACAACATCACCATTAATAAAAATACACTTCATTGCAGATATTCTACTATACACATATGTTATATATACCATTCTGGATACTATGTATAATACATGCCAGTAATTTCTGGAAGTGGTTCATTGCCCCGGGATTGATATTCTTCGTTGAAAGTATCCTGAGATCCAAACCTATGAAGTTAGCTACACATGGTAGAACTTTTATTAAAGAAGTGAATCTACTTCCGTCCGGTGTAAGTGTAAACAGTTGTTCTTTAACTGTCAAGGGACGTTACTTAAATAATCATTGGTTCAATTTGAGAAGCACCTTCTAGCACTAGTAATAAACCCATATCATGAAAGATGGGGATGGGGGGAGGGGGTGCTACACATAAGACAAGTGGATCAGGTAAGTTACCATGGCAACTATGTTATTAAATCCAACAAGGCTGACGCCCTCTACGGTGAAAACAATGTATTATGTGCAGATAGGAAATCGACACGAGTGAAAGAAGTGTTAAAAAAGCTCACAGAGGATCGAATACCTGAAGCATAGACCATGGCATCGATTTTTTTTCTGACCGTGCAAGGACTTGAGAACATTCAATTTCAAGACCTACAAAACATAATCGCTCAGCAAACAAGAAACGCAACTATGTGAGTGCTAGAAAGTGTAGTTCTGTAGGTTGAAAAAAATTTGTATGGATTTTCTGGTAAAACACAAACTTATAATGAACACATCTTCCTTTTCAGGTTACACATCTAGTTATTTCCCGTCCACCTAATTTTGATTTTAAACCTGGAGATTATTTATTTATACAGATACCTATGTTAGCTAAATACGAATGGCATCCATTTACTATCAGTAGCGCACCGGAAATGGAAGGTAACTATGGTGTCCTATGCTGGATAATTTTGGAACAACGGTTAGGATCAGATGCGGCTGTCACAATTGTATTTGGTTAAGCAAGTGATAGTAACCTGCTCTTATCCGGATTCCTGGGTTCGATGCCTGCAGAAGTCGAGAAGGCTCCTTTGGATTTCAAATCCTGATTCTCCCAATGAGTAATGCATATTCGAGGGAAGAAAACTTTAAGCCGATTGGATGTCTACCGTGACAGATCCACCATCGTTCTGCAGATTTTCCGAAACTACCATGCGCTGTCATGTTAAGAAGAGAGTACGTGAATATTATTAATGTCGCTATCAGTATGCCTGCTTGTGTCGATAAACGGGACAAAAAACTATCAATTCATTCTCAACCTTTTCTATATTCAAGGTTTCATCTGGTTACATATCCGATCAGCTGGTTATTGGACAAAATCTTTATATGACTTCTTTGAAAAATACGGCTCTGATCAGCGGAGAAAATCAACCATTACAGGCCAAATAAATAAAGGTATGTACAGAAATGAAATGAATGGAGTTTTACGTCCTATTTTTCTGCACTTGGTGGTAAAGATGTGTATCTAAGTAATGTAAACGATACTAGAAGCCTTATATTTCTAAAAGAGACCCTATTAGATCGCCTTTCTTTGATCTGAAAGGTTTATGGTTGACAATAGGTGATTAAAGAAAAAATGCAAGGGAGGTAATACATTGAGTATTAACGTACCAGTCATGTATGGACCGACTCTACCAATTCGTTTACAATTTGTTCACAAAATTCAATCTTCTAAAAAAATGTCCAGAAATCTTGTTGAAAACTTTCCAATATGGGGCATGGACCAAAATTCAATATATCATAACCATGAAAATTTTGAGTTAGCCAAACTGAAAGTAGACCATATTTTTTTATCAATATCCGCTTCACTAACACTGCATACAAAACGACTATTTTTAGAATTATTCATCCGCATGAAAACGTCTCATCATCTCACAAAAACAGGCATGCAAAACCCCAAAAGGTATTGAGAAGAGGATTTCTTAAAATAGCAAATATACAATCATTTACACAAAATGTCTTAATAGTCCATATTATTATAACTTATCATTATACTAAAGAAATACATGGGAAATAATCTCGATTAAGTTGAAGGTCTTTAAGAGAATATCTAATTCAATAAGATCTCTCTCATAGTAAATCGGGATATTGAATGTTGACTACAAACTACACCTTGCTTCAATGAACTGTTTTATTGCAGCTTTCCATGATGGCTTAGATAAAATAGAAAGAGGAATCAAAGAAGTTTCAACATCTTTTACACATAGACAATCTGTAAGTAATGGTGATGCCTTTACACTATCACAACACATAGAGAAAACCAAGCCGAATTTATGGTATGCCTGATCAAATCATAATCAATAAAAGCATAGTCACCAAGCTAACAAAAGTTGAAATTGAAATATGGATTTTTTCATTGTAAAAATGTATTAATACACTTTCGAAATGCATAAAATACAAGCATAAATTCCTTCATTTTCACCCCCCACCCCTACCTTTTAGGATGCATTAAAAAAATTGACCGTAGGCCCCTCCAATCTGAAGTTCTGCAGCCGACTCTGTAATAAAACCGATGAGAAACTTTCTACCCAGTGTATTACACCGTACTCCAAGAATGTGAAGAGATTTCAGATTTCAGAGAGAAAGCCCGTTCACATGTAGTTCTAAATTTTCTCTACCACCAGCCAAGAAACATTCGCGGTCCAAATAGAAACGAATAGCAATAGAAATTGATATCTTTTTAAAGCTCATGTTAGTTTTACATCTTTTTTTCAGTCAAGAAAACATGTAAGAAAAAGTACAGTCAGACGAAGAAAAGATACGTCTAAAAAGGTCCATATTGAGGTAAGTTAACCTTGCCATTAACATGTACAAATATCTAGATATACATAAACTATACAGAAAAGCCAACTTTTAAGGTTGAACAATCGCGAAATTGGTTCGACTTGATGTCCACTGTCCAACTTCAGCAAAGAATTTGAAGAATTACATTTAAAAATTTTTTTTAAAGAAAGGAACTTATTTGTTTCTAAGAAAGATAACAGCTGAAGTTTACGAGGATCCTGTGTCTACCAGCTGCTCCTTGGCCCAATATCTTTCCTGGTTTATTCGTCCCTATTTACAGGTCGCCAGACTTTCACACATCAACCCACGACCAACATTTTTCAACTGGAACACATTGTCAGGGTTTCATCATGGTCCTTTTCCATTTTGTTACAATACCATTCTTTCACCTTCAGGTATATTTAGATGGTCCGTATGGTACATCAACCCGAGAGATCTTCCAAACGGAGCATGCCGTTCTGATAGGATCTGGAATTGGTATCACACCTTACGCTTCCATCTTACAGAGTATCATCTATAGATTTAATGCTATCACCAGAACTTGTCCAAAATGCCACCATTGTTTTAATGAACCTTTAGCCGGTTCCATGATGAAACTTAAAAAGGTAAAGTATTCAACTCCGACAATCACCATTTGATTAGAACCCATCTTCGCGAACCCATTTTCGTGCAGTAAAATAGATGGTTATTTCATTTCTTCCCACTTATAAAAATAAAAACCAAAATTGTAAGGCATGTGGAATCTAAAAGGATGCCGAGCTGTACTATTGTTTGCTGTGGATTACCACGTATCAAAATATAGTTATACGTCGGTATGTACAGCGCTCATTTTGTTATCTGATGTCCTATATCCTGTATTTATTATGGTATTGCTTGTGGATATTTTATGTCATTTTGTATCATCATTTGAAATTCTAAATCATATCTCAATGTCTATTTCAGGTTGATTTTGTCTGGATTAATCGAGATCAGAGAGCTTTTGAATGGTTTACAAGTCTTTTGACTCAACTGGAATTAGAACAAGTTAAAAATGGCAGTCATCTAGACAAAATATTAAATCTCCATATGTACATGACAGCCGCCGTCCAGAAAGCTGATATGAAGGGAATCGGATTACAAGTAGCTCTTGATCTAATCCATGAAAAAGAACAGCGTGATTTATTGACAGGTTTGAGAACAAGAACTAAAGCTGGCCGTCCAGACTTCAATGAGGTATTTTCTATTTTCCTCTTCTTTCCTTGATATCTTCTCGAATATGCATTTATTGTGCATTCTACTTTCGCTTTCACCTATGCGTCAAAGGACAAGCGGAAACACGTCGAAACGTTGTTTAAAATTTGGACACGTGAATTTTGATTTTTAAGGTTACGATTTTACGCTGATTGCACACCGCAATGGTGTTGAGCGTTCTTCCGCCAGTTAATACAGAAAAAACCAGGTGTCAATATAAATTAAATTTGTTGGGTCGTCCAAGATTCCAGACTACATTTCTCGAACCTTCCGATTTGGTCATTCTATGTTACTCTCTTTTTCAGTTGTTTAAATCCATAGCTGCTCAAAAACACGGAAAGGTTAAAGTATTTTTCTGTGGTGCCCCTGTTGTTGGGAAAGCTATTAAAGAACACTGTGCAAAGTTTAAATTCGGTTTTCGAAAGGAGAATTTTTGAATCATTTTTCAACGATTTGTTGTGTCTTCCATTTGGATTGTGGATCAATGTGCAAAAGAAATCCCGTTTGGACAAAAAACGATACTTCCACATTGAAACAAATTCTGAGAACTCAAATCTGTATCGCGTTCTCATTGATGTGCCGGATGTCCTGAATTCAATGTTATGCTCTTTTGACGTTTCACTATATGTTTTCAGTATCTTATACTAATATCATATGTTCTCTGGACGTGTGCGTTTCAATTCGTGAATCACAGTGTTCCCGGATGTTCGGATCACGCTGGTTGCCGTTCGAAAAACCACGATTCTTATAAACTGTGTATTTTTACGAAAATTGAGACCATTGTAGATATGTTCTCAATAATTGTTAAATTCATAGATAAGTTAGCGTGTTCCCAACTTTATCGACAATTTTCAATAGAGTGTCATCTCATGATGATGTTCTTGAATCACAATATTTCAACGGATCCTCAAAAGTAGGTCCACATGGTGAAACAAATATGACGTAAAACTCCATTCATTTCATTTCAAAAATCGGGAAACAATTTCATGTTCTCATTGATATGTTCAATACCGCAGCAACCGTGTCTACCGTGTTATATCCAGAGAAGTTTTTTAATGGCTCACACACTTACTTTTAAATCTTAAACATGCTATCCCGTGAACTTATGTTCTCAATGTCGTGTTCCATCGCGTTGTCATGTTCCTAATTTATTCGTTTTTTGTTGATCTGTGTTATTCTGTATAGACTAGACTTTGAACTATCTAAAACTCTTTACCGTTATATTCTGAAAAGCGACCAAATGTTACAGATGACGTTCTAGTTGTAACGCCTCGAACAGCGACAGCTCGTCTTCCGGACATAGATTGATATTACGGTTTTTCGATTAACAGACGTGCTCTGTTTACGTTATACAAATTACTATAGTAAGGTAATAGGTTTTGAAGAGCAATACCGGCTCGAAAGTACTGGCGGATTCGAACCACAATGCAGAAGTACCGCTTACAAATTTTTTTACCGTTACCGAGGCTTCTTTTATGTAACACATGTCTGTTTAAAATTGTGATAAAGAATACTGTTCACATCATTTTCAATGGTTGATTTGCAACCAATAACGTATCATTAATTATATTGTCTACTTTTATAGTGACAGTGCTTCATTTTGTTATCACCAATTTGTATCGTGACCGCTGTAAATATACCAAGTGATCTATAATGGAATTAATTAACAAATGAAATCCACCTTACCCGATTGCGTTGAATACTAGTAACCATTTTTTATTTTATTAACATTTTAAATTTGAGATATTTTTTCTTTTTACAATAAATATTTTAAAAATGAACCAAGCATTTTAAACGGAATAAGACCCTGACATGAAAAAAAAAACTGTAGTCGTTCGAATGGGACAAAAATCGAGCCCCCCGTGTGCTACAGGCTGTGCTCGTTAAATATCCCTTGACAACAATTCTGACAACCGACAAATTCCATTTCTGCTACTAAACCTGCGGGTATATTATTTGTCCTTGACAGTTGGTATCTAAAAACAAAAGGCGCAAGTCGCTGCCATAGAAAAATGTCCATTATCGCACACTGCATGACGTTCATTAGCCTAGTATCCTAAACACGGCATCGCTGGTCTTGTTTGTTCGCCACGAGATGATGGCGTTTACGAAATCTAGGAGTATATATTAAAATATTCTGCTAACATTAAATTTTCGAAAATTCGATTATTCAATTATTCTTGCTATAAATACCACCTTTAAAGTTAACACAATATCAAACAATTTCAAATTTTAATGACACATCTATTCTGTTTACTTTGTGAAAATCTGGCTCTGAAGCAAGTTACCTCCCCCGAATAGTTTATTTTTCACGGTATGGTTGTAACGTCTGCTTGAGAAAAATAAAAATATTGAAACGGACTATAGCAGAAATGTTCGCGTGGATAAAACTTTTAGTATATAATAACTGGGCCTATCTTCTCTCTCACGCATGTAAAGTATGGAGCGTTTATAGCTGCGCGTGAAATAGTGGATACTGAAATAATTCGGACATACTGACACTATAAAAATAAGGTATGACATTTTTACCCCATCTTCATTTTTACGTATTTTGACATGTACACTGAATTATTACCAACTGCAACAAATGACCGTGTCCAATTCGGAAGCGGCGGCATTCCGTAAACTAGGGAAATCAAGTGCGACCACTTTTCGAATTCTTGTTAACATTCTATTTTGAATTTGAAAAACACCATATTATGGGTCGATTTAAAGAATATATTAAAATGTAACGCTGATGATTTTTACTATTTCATTTTTAACAGCTGTTTCTTTATAAATATGATAACCTATATGTCAACATAGTTGTAAGTAGGTCTAACTATCGTCTGCTAATGAGTGTGTTCTCAAAACGCTGTTCTGTGCTCTGCTAATGATTGTGTTCTTATAACATTGCTCTGTGGTCTGCTTATGATTGTGTTCTCAGAATACTGTTCTGTGGTCTTCTAATGAGCGTGTTCTCAGAATACTGTTCTGTGGTTTGTTAATGATTGTGTTCTCAGAATACTGTTCTGTGGTCTGCTAATGATTGTGTTCTCAGAATACTGATCCTGATTCTAAACATGAATTCAGTGAAGGCCGACAAATCTGACCCTACCCAGTTCCCCCGACGTGACATTCGGATGGGATATGGGAACTTGGTTTAGGGCCAGACATACAATGTCCATTTTCATGGGAATTGCTCAGATCTATTTTTTGGTCGCTAGTTTTTAAGAATTCTCACCACGACAATGCCGAATTTGGCATGACTTTTGGTATTTATACAAAGCTGAACCATTAATGAGTTGATCAAGATATTGTAAAATATTCTTCGATGTCCCTGTGCCACAGTATTTTGGTAAATTGGGCTTTTGTCATGGGTCCCATGTGCTACATCTCGACAGTTGGAATTCGAAAAATAGTACGCTCGTGCCGCTGTCCTCGCATTGCACATTGCATGGTGTTGTCCGTCTTCATTAGCCCACATGGTGTAAAAAAAGGAGGTCGTAAATCTCCATTCATTTTATTTCCACTTCTTATTCATCTTGGTCGGTATATCATTATTCGTGTCATAACGTCCCTGTCCATCGTGTTTCTACATAAATAAGTAAATAAATGCTACTGCCTGGTGTCGCATAACACATTAATGTGATGGTTGTCATTCCAATTCGTTTACTGTGTCAAGGTTAGCCAAAATGTGCACATGATATACACCAATTCAAGAACGGAAAGTGTACAGTGTATGTGTTAATAAAGGTAGAGATGCGCCATTATGAAGGGGGGGGGGGGGATTTTAGTCGAACTGTCATGCAAGGAAATAATTTTATATGATTACTGATTAGCTCCATTTCTGATATAAAACCCTATCATTTTTCATATATATCGTGCCTAGGTCACTCGGGACTAATAGAATTGATTAAAATATGTCATCGTTTCTCTTCATCAAAAATAAACAATGATAAAATCACGTGTCATGACCCGAGAATTTAATAATCATTGTCTAAATTATCAATAGAATGATAAAGCCTTTTATAAAATATTTACAAAACTGTATTTTATAAATTCACTAGTATATAGTCTTATGTACATTATGTTATATATATACTTAATACAATATAAGTTATATTTAATGTCAAAAGTTATATAAATTACATAGTTATATAACTACTATGTTATATTGCTTGTCGAATGGTTTACCACCAACAAGACTTCAATGCTTCTCAACCTTCTCGAAATAATTCTTCCTAAAATAAATCGGTCATTTTGAAAAGTATTTCACTTGAAAAAATATTTTCAACGATTAACCATGATTGAATATGAAATAATACTCTACACATCGACATAGTTCAATGTCCGTTCAAGATTTTCTGTTTGTTCAGGGTGTATGATGACAATTTCAGTTGTGGATCATCTGCCTCCTATGTTCGCCCCAGTCAGACGATTCCTTCCCATTTACACACTTTGCAACAATCCTTCTGGTGATCGTCAAATTCCTCCCCTGTTAAGAAGCACAGACTTACATGTCCTGCAGCATTAGTGTTGTATCTCTCCGTTTTGGCAATGATCATGCAACCAAAAGTACAATGTCTAAGAATATTTTTCGACATATTCAAGATACCTCATTCTATGGCATCAAAATGCCTTCCGTGCTGAAAATTTATTGTTTGAATAGAATTATCATATGGGACTTCATGAGGTTCGGCCATAATGATAAAAGCAAAGTTAGCGAAAGACAACGACAATACATAGAATAGTATGCAGACTGGACTAAACTCCAGTGGAAACTAAATTTGCAAGTCTGAAATGCTCAAATATAATTGATTTATTAAAGCCCCGTCACACTGGAAAGACACCTTACTGAGCTGCTACTGCGACGGAAAGTTAGAGCGTATATAACCGTGGTATTGGCATTTAGGAAGCGTCAGATATCGTACGGTTGGCGATATTGTCGCTGTTGAGATCGCCGTGAACGCAATAAGAATAAAAGTGAAATGCACCAAGCTCTTGGATTTTATTAGAAACGTGCCTTGGCAGCGCAATATTGCTGCAATATGTTGTAATTTGCATTTTTATGTGACCCTTTCTCACGTTTTCTTCACGTTTTTCGGTGTTTAAGTACAATTTGTATTGTGTGACGAGGCCATAATAGCGCGATATGATATTAAAAGATCGATCTTGAAATTCATTAAAATATTTTCTTAGATGCAAATAATATAGATTTAGTCTGGTTTATCAGACACTGAATGGCTTACCATCAACAAACATTCGGTTCAATCAACACTGTCATTACATTCATTACATTTCATTACACATGACGTGACATGAATTACGTTATGAATCATTGATTAATACCGTTATATGGTAATGCATATCTTAAACTGTATAGCTATTTGCATGATGTTGATTTTTGGTCAACGTACTAGAAAAGTACAGAAGTCAGAGGCAAGATAAAATATCTACTCATAGTCGAATGCGTCATTCATGGTCAGTGGCGGCGGCAGAACTTTGAATTCGGAGAGGCCTCTTTTTTCGAATCCATCCCAGAGGGGTTCTGGGTAATTAAGAGCTTGAAATCTGCATTTTATGCAATTTGAAACAGCATTTTCTCAATAGCATAACGATTTTGCTTCCACAAAAATTGCAATTTTTTATTCGGGCGTTGGGAAATTAACCTATATTCTATTATGTAGAACTAACCAGTACAGCAAAGTTAATTAATTAATTCCAATTATCTTATTATTTTGTGCATTTGATAATTGTTAATGAATAACTTTGAATTAAAGAAAAGGCCAAGCTTAATTGTCTCATTTACCAAATCTAATCAAGTTTTATATTGAAGGTAATACGTGTATATCTAATTGAAAGAACTTCGTACAAAATGCAACGATGGCGGTAATGAAACAAACAAAATCTTTTCTTCCGCATTCTGGGGACCCTCTTTAAGTCAATTTAATGCCTGTCTGGAAGATTTAAAGATGTTCAGCCTATAGTTATACTCTTTCACTAATTTAGATATCTTAATAATTTTGTATTTTTTATACTTAGGCAAGGTGTTGGGACCCGTGGAATTCGTTCAGTGGCAGTTGAGCCATTGTAATTTGAGTATCCATTAGATTGAATTTTATATCTACATTTTCTCGGTTTTTGGTCTTTGATTTGGATTCAATTTTTCAATAAACCTGTGTGAGTTATAATCCTAAGATATCCAGGGATAAGCCACACTAAACGACAAACGTGGATTAAGATGTATTAGAAACTGTCTCCTCTTAAAGGACGAACTAAATTAAATTCATAGCTGAAATTTCAAACGGGTTAGAAATAACTTTATATAAGGTCGAGTCGAACTCGTACTAATCGTTTAATCTGAGATGTGTTTGACATTTTCTTCCCATATGTTATTTGAATTATATAATGAGTTTTTTCTTTCGTCTTGTTGGACAAACCGTGTGAAATATTTATTAAGTCGCAAAGATCAAGCGAATCCTTGCAATTATTCTAAAGTTTAAAGAAAGTGTGATATTATACTTGGTTAAGCCAGCGTTAGACGTATAAGTAAAAAGTATAAGTAAAAATTACATAGATAGGTATATACATTTATAGAGCGTTCTGTACCATCTGATAGAGCATCCTGTACCATCTGATAGAGCATCCTCCTGTACCATCTGATAGAGCATCATGTACCATCTGATAGAGTATCCTGTACCACTGAAAGAGCATCATGTACCATCTGATAGAGCATCCTGTACCATCTGATATTGCATCATGTACCATCTGATAGAGCATCGTGTACCATCTGATAGAGCATCATGTACCATATGATAGAGTATCTGATAGAGCATCCTGTACTATCTGATATAGCATCACGTACCATCTGATAGAGCATCGTGTACCATCTGATAGAGCACCATATACCATCTGAAAGAGCATCATGTACCATCCGATAGAGTATCATGTACTATCTGAAAGAGTATCTGATAGACCATCCTGTACCATCTGATATAGCATCATGTACCATCTGATAGACCATCCTGTACCATCTGATAGAGTATCTGATAGAGCATCATGTACCATCTTAAAGAGCATCATGTACCATCTGATAGAGTATCTGATAGAGCATCATGTACCATCTTAAAGACCATCCTGTACCATCTGATAGAGTATCTGATAGAGCATCATGTACCATCTTAAAGACCATCCTGTACCATCTGATAGAGTATCTGATAGAGCATCCTCTAGAATGTAGAATATCTGTCAAGATTGGTTCACAGCAGCTCCCACAAAAATGACATTCATGTTTGTTCTCTAAATGCTGATCATCATCCGTATGTCACGTCCGAGGAACGGGTTGGGCCAGATTCGCCAGGCTACTGTTAGAACAGTGTGTATCTGTATCTAGTAGAACATTATATATTGTAATATTTAACCATGGCATGTCACTGTAACCTAAGCATTGACATGTTACTGTTACATTTAATTTTATTACCCCCATTTGTCTGGAGACAAATTCTTATCGTGCTTACGTCTAGACACCTGATACCACTTTTCATTAGGAAATACTTACTCGCTTATAATAGATATACTTCCTCATGTGAAAAGTTCATTGGCTGCTACCAATATTTCGTCAATATGTTGTTACGAATTTCGGGGTTCGTTTTGCGGTTCGGATCGTAAGTACTTGGTTTATTTATTGTACATGGGCGCTGTTGATCTGAAAAAAATCCTTAAAGAAATTTGTTATTACTTTTGATCACACAATGACATTGAGACTAACCATTTTATCTACATCTGGGGTTTTCAACTTTTCTTTCTTTTACCCCTTTCAAGATCCTTGAGCGATTTCGTTACCTCCTATGATTTTCTCATAGGTTTCTTTGCAATCATTTTCACATAAGAGAATATGGCCTGACTGAATAGAACGAATTGTTATAGTCTAAATAATCTATGCTTGACTACAAAGCGCTTCAATACCCCCCTAAATTTCAAAATTACCCTCTTGGTTGAAAATCCATGTTCTACACCATCACTATTTTTTATAAGAGAAGGTGCTTGTTCAGACTCAGCAATTCTACTGGCACACTTTTTCTTTTTTCAGATAGTGCGTAAGGCTATTTTCGAAGATGGGACAACCACCAAATGACGAAGAAAAGAGGGATGACATCACTATACAAGTACCCACAGAGGGGGTAAGACTTTTTTTTTGTTAGCGGATATATCATCATCAACACATTTGATATTGTTTAGACGTTTACAAGTTAGCACTACAAATATGCAGTCCATAAACTTACAGATTTCATTGCATCTTGCTTTCAAACACGAGGTGACAAAAAACATCACGAAATAACCACACTTGGTATCCTTGAGGAATGTTTTACCAATCAAATCCTCTGTTCAATAAAAGCTTCGTCTTGGAGGAATTTTAGGATATCGGTCGTAATGCACGGGGACGTATCTATACCTGAGGAGGGGGGAGGCCAAAAATGAGTCGTGTCTCTCCGAGGCGAGGCAAGGCGAGGCTCGAAGGGCTGGGGGACTGAGAGCTGCCAGTAGAGGCCTCCAGAAACCAATGGATATCAGATGGCCTGAGCTGAATTTTTGGCATTTAATGGGCAGGGATTGAATTTCACTTTCAATAAGATCTTTCACGGGCCTGATAAATAAGCCACTGGTTTTATGCATCCACTTGTGTCTTATTTTAACAGTGTTCAGTTTAGGGTCGGTGAGTATACAATAGAATTCATGTGGTCAAAATATTACTGAACTCAATTTATAAAATAACATTCCCAGATCATCATTGCATGAGTAATAACATCACAACATTACACTGGACTTTCAAATTGATATAAATGATGTTTTCAGAAAGTAACGGGTCGGTTGATCCTGGCGGTTTTGGCAGCAGTTTCTGGATCGTTTCTATTTGGTTACAATACTGGTGTTATCAATGCACCCGAAGAAGTAAGTAATTTAACATTAGGGTTTTTTGAGTGCATACAGTGGCGGCACCTGCCTCCAAGGACTGTGGGTACAACTAGGGGCAACTTGACTCAATGGTCTGAGAGGGTTCTCCCCAAAAGTTTCGAAAAATTGAATTGATCTGGTGCTTTCTGACACATACTTTGGGAGAAGAACGTAAAAATCATATTTCTGAATTTGTTAAAAATGAAGTTGGGGTTCCATTTTGGATGCAAACCATTTTTCTTTGAGTGGAAAATGCCTTCACCACTGAGTGCATAGTGTAAATTATTTGAATATAATTCAGTTAGGTTGAGCTGGTGTTATTTTGACATAGTTTCAGTTATTTTGATATAAATATTTTAGTGTAAATTGGATTACTTTCTGTCACGATATTTAAAGTTTTATACATGTAGTTCCACAGTGTAATTTTAACGGATATCGTTTTCTAAATATTTATTTTGTTTGAATTGCCATCTGAGATATATGTTTACTTTTTATCAATCAAAAGAAAGAAACGAACCAATGAAAGTGAGACATTGTTAGTTTCCAGGGCGCTATTGATATATTTTCGAGCTGATTTGACCATCATCATCATCGCATGTGACATTGATTGTCAATTGTGTAATTGCAGGCGAAACAGAAATAGGATTTTCATATTTTAGAGTGATACAGATAGCTGTGGTCTATCAGCTATATATTATTAATACATGTCAGTACTTAGTAATTACTGTCGATTTGCTACTAATCTCACATAGCCTACTTAAAAGGATTGTAAAAAGGTTTTCTTAAATTTGTATGTGTATCGAGGACACTGATAGGATTAATTTCCACCATTCTTATTTTCAGTCAGTCTGTGGTTCCTGCAATTTCACTAAAACGAAATGTATGATGACGTCACTAATTGCAAAATAATCTTACCACATAAGACCCTTCTGGATTAGTGACATCAAACACTTAGAGTGGAATTGCTGGAACCACAGATCTCTGATTGAAAATTGGAATGGTGCCTACAAATCAATGCTATCAGTGTCCCCGATACACATAATTTTTTTAGTAAACCTCTTTACAATCTCTTTAAATGTAATACTAACCCAACTGTTGTCATATGAATAGATGTGATAATTATGTAAAATTCATATTTAAATATCAAACCTTTATTTAGAAGTGAGTGTTTATCGATTTTTGTTAAAACATGTACTATATACTATATGTCACAGTCACATCATATTTATCATTTCTTCAACTATATGAATATACTATGGATTATAATTTCAGAAAATCAAAGCATTTTTAAATTCTACAAATATAGATAGAGATGGCGAACCATTGACAGTTGCTACCCAGACCAATCTCTTTGCTATTATAGTGGCAAGTTTTGCTATAGGTGGTGCAGTTGGCGGTCTGGCAGCAGGACCATGGGCTGATAAATTTGGACGGTATGTTCTGGACAAAGAGATCTGATCTTTTTCCAATCCGCAAGTTTCAAAGTTCGTCGATTGTAGACCTTTTATATAAAACATGGCAACTTATGGATCGTGTATTGATCCATGGCGATTGCAAAACTTTAATGTGATTTTGAATACAAAATCTAAGCCTTGTTACAAAAAAGGAGATGGAATTGCAAAATGTATAAGTAGATAATTTGGTGGAGGTCGCTAGCTAAGCAGGGAAGCCCCCACACCCCCTCTCCCCTTCCCGGGTTAACAGTGTCATACAGATCTGTAGTATGGGGAGTAGTATATCCTGACGAGTAACGATGTCTAGTGTTTGGTTGCAGTAATGGAATTCGTCAGTTGTCAGAATTTTTTCAGAGGGGCAATCTGAATTGTGTCAAATTAATACTCTCTCGGCGGATCCACATGGCTAATAATAGGCCTATTTATTTGGTATGATTATGTTTGCAGATTTATTCTTGTTTCAGAAAAAATGGATCATTGATCAATACCATATTTGGAATTGTATCAGCTGCTCTGATGTTCTTCAGTAAAATGGCCGAATCTTACGAAATGCTGATTGTGGGGCGATTGTTAGGAGGAATTTGTTGTGGTGAGTTCATTATCAGGGTGGGTGGAAGGGGATTTGTTAATCAGCTTCTTGCACTCCACACTCCCATCGCCACCCCCACCTTGCCCCCCGTAGAAACGCCACTGCATCCAATCTGATAAGCAACAGTCGATAAACGATTTGCTCATACCGAAAAATTAACTGATTAATAGCATATGATCAAATGGATGGTCACATATTATTGCGATCGCCAGGTCGACGACGAAATGCTAGTTTTCTTCTTAGATACCTTTGTCCGTTCACCTACACCCAGCGATTAATAAGATTCTTCATCAGAACTGTTGCCACCAGTTACTTGCAGTCGTTGAAAATTCAGTTGCCGAATTCAAGCAGTCGTAAGATCGAATTGAGTTCCCTATATCCCTAAATTCACTCATCTAAGGTTATCCGTTGCTTATCATTCTTTTTTTGAAAAATAGAAACTTCACATAGTCTTTATTTACAATTTTGCTACCGTGATCAATAGGTTTTTTTTATAGCTAGTAACAATCTGTGATATTTGTTCAGGTATAGGAATTATCCATCTCAATTCTATACTACACGTGAAAATTCTATACAGTAGAAATAATAGTGAAATATGATCTTGTGATTGATATTGATGAACAATGGAGATATTTAACGTTGACCTTTACTCTCTTTGTTTGTTAATAATCACCGCCAATACCCGACTATACAGACCTTATGGGAAATTATATTAACTTTTCTCTAATGACAGGATTTTACAAGCTACATGTTTATTATAAGCAACCAAAATGTGATTTGTGATCGGTTACATTGGCTTGTAAAGTTCCTTACAAAAGCCTTAGAAAAACCGTCTTGCATACAGACGCCGCACATAACGTTTAGGAACTGAGGGCCATTTTCATTTTGGCTTTTCTTATAAAAAAGATCAAGACGTTTTATGACTTTCTGGAACGAAATGTCGGTGTAACATCGCTAAAACTGATTTTTTTTTTTAGCATTAAAATTGTCAATGAATTTTGTTTCTTATTTTTGTGTTGTTTAGGTCTGATAACGGGTCTTACACCAATCTATTTATCTGAAATAGCTGCTCAGAATATCCGAGGTGCTTTAGGTGTCCTGCATCAGCTTGGTGTGGTTTCTGGTCTCCTGTTGTCTCAAATCTTAGGATTTCCCGAGATTATGGGTACTGCTGATTTATGGCACGTTTTACTCGGTAAGTGCCTATGTCAACTTCGATGATATATAGGGCTAAAATCAGATGAGACTGTATCTTAATTTTAATGGTACTTTTTCTTTATCGGATCAATGAAGGTCAAGAAATTTGTCCTTTTTTTCCTTTTAATTGGTTCACCACATTATTAATTATAAAGTTTTCAACTTCACAATCGGAATACCAAGCATTTATCACCACTTACCTACTCATTGTCTCATTGTCCACCGTGAAACCTGCAATTGTTCGTGCGGTTTTGAGTTTTTCTCATTCCACTTATATTAGACGAAGGATATCAGCAGATGGTGTCAAAATAAGGGGTATACGGACTTTAAAAGCTCGAAAACAAAAACAATTTGGGATTTAAAAAGATATTGTTAACTGATGTCCCATTCATTTCCAATTCTTGCACAGTGATCATTGTTTACCTTTGAATTATGACTTTTCCCCACAGGTCTATCAGTAATACCCAGCGTTCTTCAACTATTGATATTTCCATTCTGCCCAGAAAGTCCACGACATTTACTAATTTCTAAAAATGAAGAATTTAACGCAAGAAAAGGTAATGAGGGGTTTTATTTTTAGTGTTGACTCGAACAATACCTGGAACATTGTAAACTAATTAATCTAATGTAACAACGAATGAAGATTGAGAAAACTCAAGCGAAATATTGAATGCATCACATGAATCGTAAAGATTCAAGGACTCAAAAGAGGTTTTCTAGCGACACGTCATTTAGCGTCCATTTTTTATATTTCCGATTCCCTGCCCATTGCCACAGTTTATCAGTTCACTACCAAATTTTGGCTTTATTCTTTTAGCACTGACAATTTTGAGAGGATATGATAATGTCGAACAAGATATACAGGAAATGAAAATAGAAAACGAAGCCCAGAAATCAGAAGCACAGGTAAGTGACGACTGGGTTCAGTGGAACTCAATGGACGATTCGTCATGTGCTTTTCTGTAGTTTTTTGCTATTTGAGTTACAGGCCAGACTATATGGTGAGTCACAAAGACTTTACAAAGATATCGAGCGGATTTCAATTTTAGAAGGTAGATCACAATTGGAGGTAACTGCGACATCATTTCGGGGAGACAGACCTCATTAAGATCGATTAAAGAATTGCAACCATTGTGTGCATCAGACTTGGCTGTAGAAACCAAGTTTCTGTGAAATTTGTGATCATATATTGCAGGTCAACATATGGAAACTATTGACGTCAAAAAGTTTACGAATGGCGCTTATAATAAGTGTTGTAATGCATTTATCACAACAGTTTGGTGGTATAACTGCTGTAAGTAGTCGCAGTTGTTCTTTTTGGATCTATTCGGGATATCAATATGATATGATATAGTGGGTATTTATAGGTTGGCATTTCATCTTTCTGCTGTCGATAGTTTTCTGGAAGGGTCGGTTCAATAAAATTGCTGTAGCAGGCAGACTATGTTCAGTTCATGAGCCATTATTTGCAAGGTACTCCGGTATGTTTGCAACTGAGCTTGCACTGTTAGCCCATCTCAACAGTGGGACTCGTAGTATTGTATTATTTATTTGGCTAATTACATTAGAATAAATTTAATCAAAATGTAAATGCAGTTAATAGTGAACAGAAACGCAGTGTCAACAATGTACAGTAGTTTAATGCGTATCATGTGATCCATTTTCTCCCATCGGTCAGTAGGTTAAGTAAGCCCAAGACAGATTATAAGATGAAGAATTAGGTCGAATGATATCAGCAATAAACTCTAAGCACGTCTACGCGTGGTATATCATAAGTATGTATATAGATATAAATATGCGATAAAATGTTTAATATACTTGATACGTTATGATAAAAACAACGATGTGGTTAGGGCTCAATGATATATATTTTTACTTGATAACAGTTGCTCAACTAGAGTGCGTGCCAATGGACTTTTGTGAGCTGGTGTCGGTACCCCTGGAATTGTTTTTTAATTATGCTCTTCTGCATTCTGAGACCCACATTTTCTCAAATTTGGACATAATATTGCCCTTGGTAGGGTCCAAGCATAAGTTGTTAACCATTTTATTTTGTGTGTTAACCTTTTGGATACTTACTTGGTACATTTTTCTGGGAAGTGGGGGCACCCCTTAAGGGTTTGGCCCCGTGGACATGATTCAACCACTCCCTAGAGTAGTTGAGTAACTGCTTGAAAACGTATAAACCCAATTAATTTCTTTTAATAAATATGGTCTAAGTTTCTTCTCAGGTGCTAAACGCAGGTGTCATCATGTGTTTATTTATCATTACTAATACTAAATCGTCAAATCATCATCGTGTACCTTGTACTCCACCGTAATGTATGTCAGAAATAGATAACTAGATATAAAACTTGTTTACATTACATGATCAAAGTTATAATACGTTACCCAGTGGCCAAATGACCCCACGTTTCAAACTTCGAACATAACAATGCAGAATACAATGGATTCCCTCTCTTTGAAACTTCAATGGTGAACTATTGTATATCAAAGTGAATAACGAGAGTTTTCTATTTGCGGCTTTCGTAAACCAGAAATAATTTACTAGATGAAGTTAACTCCGACGGTTATATATGAAAGTATCCGGTCAAGTTTTTATCACATCTGATAAAGGAACATGCTCTCCCCATACACAAACTAAAATCAACAAAACCTCTATTAAATCTCTCCAAAGCAGGCAAAACATTGTGTTGGTCATATAACTAGAGCTGTCCTAGCTGCCTGATTTGGTCTTGACATAATTTTATTCCTGTTTATATAATCTTGACCTGTTTATATTTGGTTTTATTGTGTTAACCTACATTAGATTATTGACTGTAAAGGGGTGTTATGCAAATTAACTGAAAATAGGCTGATATATGTACATATATGTTTTGAAAGATGGTTTCATATTCAATCTTATGACATAACATGGTAATCTTCTTAATGTATATCTCCGCGGAGACTAGAGAACCTCAAGAGAGGCCTATTCAGTCACTGGTGTAGGCTGTTACCATTATAAACCTTAGAAAAAGTATTCTTGAACTCAATCACTAGACAGCTTAACGCAAACCCTACCTACTCTACGTCCTACTCTTCTCCACCTAATAGGTGCTAATGTAGACGGACAACGATATGCAATGTACGATGAGGGAAATTTTACCAGGACAACCGCATTAGCCGATTCTTTTTCCATGTTCAACTTTTGAGGGATCTCCAACTGTCGAGGGATCTTTAATATGCACAGCCTGTGGCACACGGAGTCTTGGTTTATTGTCCAATCAGAACGAGTTGCCTTTTCCATGTCAGCGCCTGAGACCTGCATCACTGGCAAGGGGAAACAGGGTTGAAAAACCCAAAGGTATTATCCCATCATATGCCGGAATTGAACCCTTTCAGGTTAGGGGACAAGCGTCTAACTCACTGAGCCACTCGTACTAATTTGTATCTTATCGTTCACGTGTCTACGTACTCCCCATGTTACTGCTTTTTGTGACAAATATTTCACGACTAAAATGTTAAACTAAACCTTAATTATATAATATACTCTCTTTTCAGATATTTTACTATTCTTCAACGAACTTCCAAGATGCTGGTTTAGATACTAATACTGCTATACATGCTACCAGTGGAGTAGGTGCCGTCATGGTGGTTATGACGATTGTGACCATACCGCTAATGGACAAAGTAGGACGTCGAACTTTACATTTAGCTGGATTAGGGGGAATGTTTGTGTCCTCTATATTAATCACCGTCACTTTATCTCTCAAGGTAAATATTGTAATATTTATTAAGTATCAGTTTTAAAACTCTTGCTTTAATTTCAACAGTGACTAGTACGGAAGATATACCATTATGATATGGGTATATTTCATTATATAATTGTATATTTGCATTATGGTAATTTCCAAGTGGGAGATCGTTGCCTTAACCTTTGCAAATAAGGAGTGGTTCATACCTGTATGTTAACTTCTTCAGAATGAATCTCACCCGTAGTTACAGGGGCAAGGGAAGCGGTGCTTATTACTTGCCATTCAGAACAATCAAGTTTGGCTACGGTCCTGGTTTCCATTACGGTTTCCTGTTTTTAAAGGGAATAGCCGATACTGATACAACAAAAATAGAAGTAGCGATACTTGAAGTCGTTTTTCGTGTTTGCTTCTTCTATTTTCACAATCCGATATTCGTCCAATCGCACCAAAAAAATGTATTTCATATAGTATCGTTCAAGTATTTTTGCTTCAAATTTCATGCATTGCATACACATTAGAAACATTAGAAACATGGCCTTTTTTTACATGTATGAAACTCTTAATATTTTTACTGCTTTTCAGCATCAAGTAGAATGGTTTAATGTAGCTACAGTAGTTTTCTCCCTTGTATTTGTTGTGTTCTTCGCATTGGGACCGGGTAAGAGAAAAAATCCTGTGAATATATTCCAACGAGGCAGCTCTTGAGTTTCATCTCAGAAAGGCGGAATCGTTACTTCTTGATTTTATGATGAGGGTATGTAGCGCTTACAGAGTGCATATCCAAAACGAAGAGCATTCAGACAACTTTTCTTAGATGGCTACACGACCTCTTGGGTCATTCTCCTAATTATTCAGCTAGCCTATAAAAATATCAATGAAAACTGTATTTTATTTAATGTTTTATTTTGTAGGTTCTATCCCGTGGTTAATTGTAGCTGAATTATTCTCCCAAGGTCCGAGATCAGCAGCTATCTCCGTATCTGTTCTTGTCAATTGGGTGGCTAATTTTGGCGTGGGTTATGCCTTCCCCCATATGAAGGTACGAATATTATGAAATTGCAATGCCAAAATGTGAACAGCAAATAATGTAAACGAGATCTATATATTGCTTTGTTGACACCTCGATATCTATGATATCACCTGGTATACCTTAGTATCGTGTTCATATTAATCTTCCATTAGCCATATTATTAAGACCGCAATGTCTCGGTTTGTTGGATGCTTGCCTGAAGGTCCTGATCACATATTCTCGAAACGATCTTAGTGCTAGGATGTCTTGTGGTCTAACGAACACTGTTTCTAGGATATCCTAGCGCTTGGATCGTTTCGAAATTGTGTGGCCAGGGTTCAATCCCGACAAACTTCGAGACTTTCCAACCTGTTTCCCTTTGTCAGCGATGCAGAAGGCTTGTGTGCAATATGCTATGCGCTTTAAACATCTCCGGACAAATGTAATTCGAAAATGAGGAGCTTATGGCACAATCCTGGGAAATATTTTTCATGCAAACTGCCGTTTTGCCCGGCTTTTAACACAATTCTTACATCTGTAGGATGTTATATTGTTATTTAACTGTTTGTGATTTTATATGATCTTTATTGAATTATTTTGTGACTCTATTTTCAGGACGGCCTAGGAACTTTCTCATTTATTCCTTTTACAGTATTGTTATTGTTATTTTTTATCTTTTTATACATTTATTTACCTGAGACTAAAAACAGAACATTTGAAGAAATTACAAGCTTAATAAGAGGTGAAAAGAAAGCAGAAAATATTCATAAAGACAAAAATTCTACTCGAGAAAATTATCTGGTGTCCTACCAAAAGACTGACATTAACCAGTGATCAAAATATTATATTATTGTATATTTTGTATGTTATTGTGTATTACTATGTGTTATTGGATATAACTTAGTTTGTTTTGTAAATTTTTGGATATTTGTTAAATTGCGTCTATATTTTATGGGATTGTAAAGAAGTTTTAAACTTTTACGTGTATCGAGGACACTGATAGCATCAATTTGCACCATTTCAATTTTCAATCAGACGTCAATTCCATTTAAAAATAAGCGTTTAATGACGTCACTATCCCAAAAGCTGCTATTGATATTATATTATAGAGGCCTTTGCAAGAGTTTACAACGTGAATTGCAATAACCACAGACGTATGATTGAAAATTGGAATGGTGCAAATCGAAATATTTCTTCTGTGTTTTTCTTCGCCATGTTATACCAATAGAGATGACGTCAGTGAACGGCATTTTTTTTTAATCCAGATTAACTAGCCATTTATATTATCTCCCTTTGATAACCGAATCTATGGGTGTCCAGAACAATCCGAGCTTGAACATTAAAATAACGACTCGTCTTTTCTGGAGACTTTGCCATATTAAGTATTCCTGAAGTCTATGTACATATATGAAAGACTCATATTGATGTGGATGTCTGCACATGCGTTCTTGAAATATCTATATTATAAAGGCAGTTTTAACTGAATGTTATGGTTAATTTAAGAAATTGGGAATACAATAGTGAACAGTCATATAAATGATATGACTATGTGGAATGTCCGAAAGGGGTGCTTAGTTAACATGTCCAGACGCATAGTTGTATCAGGTGTTCCGCATTGCTTCGCAAGCAACAATCACCGCGGTGCTTATTTAAGTGGAGCTCAAGTATTTTTATTTGGACTTTAGAGCTTGAAGGAAGGTTGAAGACTGACCATGGGAACGACATTGTCCGCCAGAAGAGTCATCGACGTAATAAGTGAATACTACACGATTGATAAACCCAGTCGTAGGCTGGAATCATGTGTTCCAGAAGAGATCTCATTTAGTAATCATTCTCAGCAGACAGGACCTCGGTTACTGGTCCTAACTGAACGACAAAATATTTTTTACTTGACAGCCTCTGCTACTTGCAACAATGACTTTGGGAAACCGAACTAGAACATCTGAGGGTATCATTTCGATCTTTGTATGAAATCGAACTCGGGATCCAAATTCAAGAGAGGGCACCAAGCCACCATTAAAACACAAACCAAACTTATGACTTTTTTATTTAGCAGATTTTTCTTTTTCAATCTCTTAACAATAGTAATCTTTACAAAATAAAAAAGTACCCCATGACCTTGTTTGAGAATATGAAATCAATATTAAAGTGCTAGAGATCATAAATGATCACACACGTTGGATCGGTGAAGAACAATTTTTCTCTCTATTTTCGTTTTATGTTTATGTTGAACCGTCTTTCTTGTGCTGAACTTAGATTTAAGAAAAAAATTGAAGTAACAGTATATCATAAACTTTTGACTTAAATTTCAAATTCACCAAACAGCGCACTTTTGATCAAATTTTACTATAATAACTACTACTTTTTAAACATTCCAAGAAAGCAGGAGCTGTTTTTAATGCATTTTATATTCTAATTTTGGCATAAAAATGTAAGAATCAAAATTTTATTTCTTCAAAGTGACCACAAAGACATTCTTGCAGCTGCCATCGACTAACTTTCTTGATATTTCTGATTTCAAAAAGCACTTCATACCTTTTAAGTCGAAACTGACTTTAAACGCAAAATTTCAAAATCAACTTATTTTTTTATTAGACGACACTCTTAACTTTTAGAAAGTAAATTTAATTAACTTAGTTAAACGTTTCTTTAAATGTTGAACAAATTTTGGAACCCAATGAGCACTCCCTTATAGCCCCGTCACTCCTTACTGCTACGGCGACGGAAAATTAGCTTAGAGCGTGTTAAGTTCGCCACGTCTGAAACTGTACGATGGGCATCATTGTCGCCAATAATCGCCGTTGAGATCGCCCCCACGGAATCGAGAATGTCTTAAGACAAGCGCCTTAACATCTACATAAACGAAATAAAAATGAAGTACACCAATCCCATAGATTTTATTATAAAACGCAAATTGGTCGCATATGTCGCAGGTTGATAGACCGTTGTAGAATTGTAATTTTAAGGGTCTCTTTCAGTCGTTTTCTTTACGTTTGTCGGCGACATTTTTAGTTGAAATGGTCGAAGTCCGGCGTGACCGGGCTATAAAGAGCTGTAAAAGATGTATTCAAATTTTAAAAGCTTGGTAGAGAGCTGACTTCGGAACATACAGTTACAACAACCATGTTTACTTGTTTATTCCAAATTTTCACTTTTCACCGTTCAACTTCTAAAATATGTTTGGTAGTTAAAGTTATTCTTTTGCCTTGATAAAAAACGAAAATAAGAATATTTGGTCTGTAGCAGTTGATAATTGATAAAGTAAATTTTAAATGTTTTTGGGTGGCAATGATCACCAATTACTGTAAAATCCAGAATCTTTGTTGTCTCCACCTCGTTTAATAGGTAGCTCAGATTTTGATATCTCATCTTCTAAACTTCGACTTTTACCAAATCTAAAATAGAAGAAACGTCAATTTTTACCGAACGACCACAAAAGTATGCCTAGATCATCAACCCTCTTGCAAATCCCCACGAAGTTGCTTAAATTGCCAAAAAGGAATTGACATTATCAAAGCAACCAGAGGACTTCATCCACTACGGCACCGAAAACGTTTTGGTAGTTATCATTTCACTACGCCGTCGCATTGAAAATACGAGGGGCCAAGAACATTCGAATGACTAAACTCGCACGTTTAGTGAAGAAAGGCGTTATTTTTTGACATCATCAAATAGTTAATTCATAACGTTAACGCTCGTACGTTAATCGTAAAACACCAATAACCCCTACCCGTCACTCTCGCTCATTGGAATTCACCTAAGTTGACCCGCAGACAAGGCATTGACAATTACTGTGAAAGTGGTATTCTCTAAGGAGATCATTTGTCACGTCAACTTTTATATAAATTAACAAAAGAATTTGACACCGTTTCTTTGTAATAGAAAATGTAAACGGAAAGATTAATTTGAATAACTAAGATTGCTTATATATTGTCCAAGATAGAATCTAACGTTATATTCAAAGAACTGGTCATAAATCTTGGACACTGGTCATTAATAATAATCATGTAATCACGTACATACTGAGCCAGAAAATAGGGCGTCATTTAAATAACAAAGGAACCTTATATAGTTTGCAAAACGGATTCTGATATTCAAAATAGTTTAATTTTATCAGAAAAAGGTCGTAAATCTGTAAAATTGGTCATTCATCACTGGTCACGAAAATGCCTGATTAGTGTAGGTGTAACCATTTAGAATGAAAAAAACTCTTTTCGATTGCATGAAAAAAAACTATAGCAATCAAAATCATAAGTGAATCGCCGTATTGAAAGGAATCATTATACCGCTGGAACGTTTCCGATGAATCCATGTATTTGGTGGACTATATTTGATATTTTAAGTATATGTATGTAAACAATTAAGTCAACATGAGAATGAAAAGACAAATGTAACAAACCTTCGATTTTTAATGCTTCTCAAAAATTTTTCAATTGGTCCATCTGACTGCGATTCATTATCTAGAAAACAAAAATATTTTATAATTAACGTTGACTATTAGTTTGGTTCAAGCTAACAGCTTCGTTGTAATTTTTTAAATATGTTTTTTATATCATGTTATTCGCCAACTATTATGAGTATATAGTCTTTAAAGCTTTCCTCAGAACGACTGACGATTCATAGTTGTAGATCGGATACGTCACGGCCAAACACTCGGTTTATCAAGAAATTGACCGATAATTGCAATTTGGATTAACAATGGTAGCCGATTCCAAACATTCAGTGGGGCATCTTTAATCGAAAGAAGAATGTAAGCAACTGATGGTAATTTTTCAGTCGTTGACGACTAAATCGGTCATATTCATCCATAATCGGAGTCCAACTTTCGGATTTTGCCAGTTGAGCAGTCGACAAGAGTACTCTTTAGAATAACTGGTTTATTGGATCAATAACCGGATTTGATTTGGATATTTCAGAATGTTATGTTTATCAGGAAGATAATGAAACAGTTCTAACAAAGTACTAGTGTTAAGTAAGCCCGTTAAATTACATTGATATAAGAATGAACAAGATGTCCGGTTTCGGTCTAACACAAACCTAGTGTTATCCATCGTAACAGTAAAATTGTATCTGACCATATCTTATGTACTTACCGTTAAAACAGAATTTTCGAAAGTGTTCACTTTGAAGACATAAAAAAGAAAAAAGTAAACTTTGTCTATCATCTGGTAGAAGATCTTGTGTATTACTGTCTGAAACTGAAATAAACAAAAAAACATTTTTTTCAATGCGATGGGCAGAATAACGTCATTGCGAGGGCATTATACAATATTTCTTGGGCAATGTTGAAGAACCGTAAATGAACGACTAGTTTCACATCCATATGGCACAGAGTCAAATGATTCAGAGGCAAATTTGACGGGGTGACAAAATTACACCAAGGCCAATATCTCAAGGTCATAATTTGTATAGAGGGCATTTGTTAGGCGTCAAATTGTCTTCACGCCAAATTAACCGGGGTAAATATCGCCCGCCACGTGACAACAACCATTTGTCCAGGAGTCCAACATGTTAAGAACCAATCACCTACAGTTTCCAAGCCTAGTCTGACGTCAAACTACAATTACTAACGTCACATTGACCTTCCGAGTAAAATAAAAATATGAGAAACGTAAAATAAACGTTAATGACTGACATGATGAATTCATGTCTATTTGTCTAATACTGTTCTGACAAGCTTTAAATATCTAATAGGCCTACTTGTTAGACATTGTTTGATAAAGAAAATAATAATGAATCTAATTTCTATCTTGACTCTATTTAATTGCTAAGTTTTCTTTTGTATCATACGCACTACTTATTATAATTTATGACCAAGGACACATAAAGGCAATTTTTATTTAATTATTAACATAGTAATGAGCCTAACAAAAACATATCGATCCAATTGATATAACCTACTTTTTAAAATTGATAATAAATTAACTGTTTAATAAACTGCTTTAGAGGATACTGTTTAAGTGGATACTGCTTTTTAACAGTTTATAACATGCTTTAGTAGATACTGCTTTTTACAGTTTATAACTGCTTGGGTGGATATTGTTTTTAAAGTTAATAACATACTTTAAGGGATACTGCTTTTTACAGTTTATAACTGCTTGGGTGGATACTGTTTTTAAAGTTAATACATACTTTAAGGGATACTGCTTTGTAAAGTAAATAAAGTGCTTTAGTAGATACTGTTTTTAAAGTTAATACATACTTTAAGGGATACTGCTTTGTAAAGTAAATAAAGTGCTTTAGTAGATACTGTTTTTTAAAGTTAATAACATACTTTAAGGGATACTGCTTTGTAAAGTAAATAAAGTGCTTTAGTAGATACTGTTTTTAAAGTTAATACATACTTTAAGGGATACTGCTTTGTAAAGTAAATAAAGTGCTTTAGTAGATACTGTTTTTTAAAGTTAATAACATACTTTAAGGGATACTGCTTTGTAAAGTAAATAAAATGCTTTAGTAGATACTGTTTTTAAAGTTATTAAACTGCTTTAGAGGATACTGTTCAAGTGGATACTGCTTTTTAAAAGTTAATAAAATGCTTCAGTGAATACTGCTTTGTAAAGTAAATAAACTGCTTTAGTGGATACTGTTTTTTAAAGTTAATAAACTGCTTGGGTGGATACTGCTTTTTACAGTTAATAACATACTTCAGTGTTTTGTAAAGTAAATAAACTGCTTTAGTGGATACTGGTTTTTAAAGTAAATAAAGTGCTTTAGTAGATACTGTTTTTTAAAGTAAATAAACCTCTTTAGTGGATACTGTTTTTTGTAAAGTTATTAAACTGATAATGCGGGTGATTATAATGCAGTGATTTGTGTGCTCTTTCGAACAACTCATTATAAGTCACAAATAACTTTTAAAATATTTATTTTGGACTGTTTTGATAATCAGCACTTAATGACGTTAGGATTCGAAAATTTGACAAGACTTAAATTTTGTAAAACAAAATAATACATTGGGTTTTTTTTGAAAAAAAAATATAATAATTCTTAAATGAATATTTGATATCCATACCCTTCGTGAGAACATATTGTTAAAAAACAATTTATGGCATCTTTTTTACCCAGTAATTTCTGTTTAAGTTTGATAGTTTGTAAAACATACCACCCACCTAAGTGACTGTTTTAGTGCTTCACCTCTCAACCTCATTGTCTTTTTTTAATTAATTTTGATAAACACATTATATATTGTTGTAATTAAATCGATTTTTAGATAGGAAGTTGTTCATATGGTTGCCCAGAGATAGTCAAATCGTGAAATAAATAACTATAATTCAATTTCATTCAAATGATTATTTTTTTTCGTTGTCAATTATCCACTTTAACTCTTTAATAGAAAAATTGTCTGCACATTCCTTATGATTGATAGTAATGGCATGCGACACCTAACGTTTCTCGGTTGTTAACATGGTTGCTAAGAGATAGTCGCCATTTTTAATAAAAGATATTTTTGATTTAGACCATATTGGTCATGTTTATTTTGACACCAATGATTGTTCTATTGTTATTGATCATCTTTTATTTGGTTTACTCACGTCAACAACCCATGAAGCAGAAATAAGAGTGACAACTGCCTCCTTAATCTTCCGACTTTATGATTTCTTATTTAATCGCCGCCATTTTGAATTGACAGAAATGTGGGAAAATTATCAAGTCGGCGTATCTTTAAACTAATGTCGACTTTCTTCATATTCTAACACCATCCACTTTTTCAACCAGGTTTCTCCTGTCAGTGATGCAGGTAAGAGGGGCTGACAGAAAAAACGTCTAGTTGTTCGGATGGGACAATAAACCGAGGCCCAGTGTGCTACAAGCTGTGCATGTTAAAGATCCATCAACAGTTGGAAATCGAAAAAGTGCAAACTAATGCCGGTTTCCTGATAAAATTTTCCTCATTGTACCCTGCATGGTGTAGCCCGTATTCATTAGCCCACACCATCCACGATGTCTCTTAATGTGAAATACAAAACTAAACGTTTTTAAAGCATTAAATAGTAGGGCATTAAGGGAGGCACATTTCATACCAGAACTGAAGGAAGAGCATGCTGTATATATACACAGATACTAAGGTAAGAGAGATCAAATTGCTTCAATGGGCTTGTAAAGCATTGGTAATATCGAGTCGAAGACCTGGTTTGCAGTTGTGAAGTGTAACTGTGCTACCATCAATCTGATTGATTACCTTTACAACTTAATGGGACGTTCGCTAGTTGACCAATTGTACCATAGTCTCAGAAACGGCAGCATTTTAGCTAAGCCAATCTGTAATAGTGTTCACAGTTCTACGTTGAAATTTAAGCCTTCATCTCCATGGTTGTCCAGAATTATCCGCGTTTGCAAGTTAAAATAACGAATCGCCTTTTCTTGAGATTTTGCTATATATAGAAAAGACATAAAAATAGAAAGTAAAATTCATAGTTTGGAATATTCTTAAATGAATTATGCAATTTTTGTACATTTCTAGTACTTTCGGAGATTATTTACATATATTCAAGACTTAAATCAACCCCTGAAAATGGCGAATCCCTTTAACCATGTGCTGATATCGAGACACGTGGAATGGTTTACTAGTGACTGTTGGCCTTCTTGTAGATTTGACTCTCAAATAGTACTATAGCTATTAGTATTTGACTAAAAATTTACTGAAATGTTTATGTGCAAGGGCGTGGATTACATACTAATCTTTTCAAAAAGTCTGTACCACTTTGACCCACAACCACTTTTAGAGGGCGCATAGTAACTTAATACTGTCAAGAAGATTACTGAAGACATTAAGCTTACACCTTGACCTGAATTACTGATTATTGAAAATACATCCGTCAAGATTAGCCAATGCTATGACAATTTTTAAGATTTTTTTTTTAAAGATAAACCCGTCTTTTTGAGTGCGTTGGAAAAATGATTTTTGTAATAATGACGTCATAATGTGATGTTTTGGTGAATTGAATAAGTCCCAGAAGATGAATGAATAGAAATTGCAATGAAACAAATAGAAGCTAATACATAAACAAAGTCTAGAAAACCTATTTTGGATCTCTTTAATGATGACATAAGCAAGCAGAGACAATGAACATGTTTTGGCTTTAAAGTGGTGTATGTCATAATACGACTCTATACGATAGTACTCTGAACGTTACGGAACAAGCGTCTAATGGATGGAAATAAAGATAACGGTTGTTTTAGCAGATGAGACACAATAAGTTAGCTGTTGAAACAAGTATTGGTTAATAATACATAATCACGATTAGAATATCGATTATTGTCCATATACATGATATTTATTGATCTCTAGCCTACTAATGAATTTAAACAAAACGAATACAGCACTTAGCATTGTCTTTATCACTGTGTTAATATCAGCCTCGGCTTAACCCTATTCTCAGACCTACTTCAACTGAATAATAAGCTACATTGGCGATCGGTTTACTAATTTGGCCTTTTTGTTGCAATTAAACCCGAACAAGGACAAGAAATTGAAGTGCAAGAATTTTTTGTGGCGTTTATTGATTCTTTGCTATCAATTCGGTATGTTTTGAACTCGAGAATAAAATACAGAAAATTCAAAGTTCACGTATGTTTCTAAAATTCCCATTGATTTTCCAGACTGCTAAAATCAACACTTAAAGACTAGAGAATTTAGACATTAAACACCGGTACCGGAAATTTAATCATGTATCTGAATTTATATATAGCTTGCAAGTCTCAGCTCGTCCCAAAGTTAACGGATGTAAAGTCACAATGCGCTAATCAAAGATTCCTGTTAGAGTATTCTAAAAGATGTCCGAAACTAATTCTAAAACCTTTATCAATAACACAAGATTCTTCCAGCAAATTATATTTTTTTCGTCTGAGTGAAAACAGGATGAAAAGTCATTGGACGTTTACTTGTCATGATTTTTGTTTTTCACCGCAGCTTCCCGGTAATATGCAGGTGTTTTACTTACTTGCAGATGTTTTACTACATTGCAGATATTTCACTACATTGCTGATGTGCTACCTCATTGCAGAAGTGATGTGCTACTACATTGCACATGTGATGTGCTACTACATTGCACATGTGATGTGCTACTACATTGCACATGTGACGTGCTACTACATTGCACATGTGACGTGCTACTACATTGCACATGTGACGTGCTACTACATTGCACATGTGATGTGCTACTACATTGCACATGTGATGTGCTACTACATTGCACATGTGACGTGCTACTACATTGCACATGTGATGTGCTACTACATTGCACATGTGATGTGCTACTACATTGCACATGTGGTGTGCTACTTCATTGCACATGTGATGTGCTACTACATTGCACATGTGGTGTGCTACTACATTGCGCATGTGACGTGCTACTACGTTGCACATGTGATGTGCTACTACATTGCACATGTGATGTGCTACTACATTGCACATGTAATGCGCATTACAGATGTGCTACTGTGTTACTACATTACAGATGTGCAACTACATTGCGTATGTGCAGTTACTTACGCTGATGATGTTTCAACTGACTTTTTGCTTTCATCAACACATAAAAAAACTATTGATTATTCAAAATTGTTCTAGATTCTCGATTCTCTAAAATCGAGAGAATTAAGCTTTTTGTACTTGACGAGAGCGTGAGCTACATTGACTTCTATCAGCAAAGACGAAAACTTTTGTTTGTTTAGTTTGTTTTTGTTGTTTCTATTCCTAAATAAAAGCTCATTATACCCGAAGACGACTGAAAAATATACAATAGAACTCTATATACTATAAAGTCTTTGAATGGCATTTAGCAATTGTGAGTACGATATATAGACACAGCTTTATGGAACAACAATCACTGGTTAAAGTTTTATGCAACGTTTCGACGTGTTTCCCCCGTCGTCCTCAGGCACATAATGAGAAGAAGTGATGGGCAAACTATATATACATTAATGCTTATTATTAAGAACACACAAGAGATAAATAGTTTATTGATACATTACATTAAATTTTAACAGGTACAATAAGAGGTATATATTCTTAAAATAACATACAGGCTGATTAAGTAAAATAATTGAAGTAAAGTAAATGAATTAAAAAGATTAATTGAAGATTAAATAAACAACTATTGCTGGTATTGGAGTCTTTTATTAATAGAAATTACATTGTTCATATAACTAACTATGCTTAAAGTTGGAAATTGTTTGAATATGAATAATTACAAGTTGATAAGTTTATCATATGCATGCGATAAACGAACACCTTCGTCTCTGTTAAGGTCAGGCTGATATCTTCTGATGTGGATAGCTTTTACCAGCAGACAAAGGGAAAGCCACAGTTATCATGGATAAGAAAGAGTACCAAGAAACTGTCACAGAACTACTTAGTGATGCGAAAACTTACAGAAGACTCCGCAAAAACCCAACGAGCATATACAAAGACAGGTTGGACAAGAAGTTAAACGAACTTGAATCCAGTAACCAAATTACCAATCAACTTAAATTTAAACTGAGATCAAGCCGCCACCCACGTCCACCATATGCCAGAGCAACAATTAAAATCCACAAAAACCCCATCAAGGCTCGGCTACTCATATGCTCTCGGGATTCTGTCTTCTATAACATCGCCCAACATCTTAGCAGAATCTTGGCACCTTTGGGGAAAACAGCTGACTCATTCATTAAAGACTCAGAAGAATTTGTCACCAAATTGAAAGAACTGCAGATCACAGGGAAGATGTACTCATATGATGTTGTCGACTTATTCACCAATGTCCCATGTAAAGATGTGTTGAGTATCATAAGAGATAAGATATCTAAATTAGAGACCCCACTGGATACTACACTTACTACAGACAGCATCGTCGATCTCATTCAGATGTGTATGTCCTCTACCTACTTCACATGGGGAGATGAGATCTATGAACAAATCCACGGTCTACCTATGGGAAGCCCCTTGTCACCATTGATTACTGAAATCTATATGACAGCCTTTGAGGAAAAGACCATGGAAACCTCTCCGATCTCACCAATCTGCTGGTTCCGGAAAGTTGATGACACCTTTGTCATGCTTAGAGCTGAAGATGACCCATCAGCTCTACTCCAGCACCTTAATGCTCAGCATAAGAGGATCAATTTCACCATGGAAGCAGAAGAAGATGACTCTATACCCTTTCTGGATGTGAGAATTAAGCGGTTAGGCGGTCAGTTGAAGACATGCGTGTATAGGAAACCTACACATACAGATCAGTATGTGAACTACCATTCCAACACCCCTCAACATGTCAAAAGGGCAGCCATCACAGCGCTGGTCAGAAGAGCAAAAAGGATTTGTGACCCAGAATACTTTCAACAAGAATTACAACAAATCAAGAAAGTATTCTGCTTGCACAACAACTACCCTCCAGCCTTTGTACATCAAGCTTTTAGATCCGTATTAATGGCAAAACCAACCAACCAACAGCCTAATCCCAACAGACAATCAACCCGCTTAGTTATCCCATTCATCGGAAAGGCATCATACCAAATCAAGAAGATCCTGAAAAAGTCAGTCGGCATTGAAACAGTGTTCTCTGGCAACTCAACGCTTAAAGATTTGCTCAGAGCCAGTGGTAAATTGAATCCCTCCAACAACCAAAAACCTAAGGGATGTGTCTACCAAGTTGAGTGCTCCTGTGGAAGCTCGTATATAGGGGAAACAAAGAGACCCCTTGATGTTCGACTCAAAGACCATCAAGACAAGCCCGGCAATGAAGGAACATCTGCTGTGGCTGAACATCTTGCTATGGGAAGGAAAACAGGACATAAAGTCAACTTTGACAACACCAACATACTGACAATCAATAAGCACATAGATAAAACCAGGAGACTTCATGAAGCTATCCACATCAGAAGATATCAGCCTGACCTTAACAGAGACGAAGGTGTTCGTTTATCGCATGCATATGATAAACTTATCAACTTGTAATTATTCATATTCAAACAATTTCCAACTTTAAGCATAGTTAGTTATATGAACAATGTAATTTCTATTAATAAAAGACTCCAATACCAGCAATAGTTGTTTATTTAATCTTCAATTAATCTTTTTAATTCATTTACTTTACTTCAATTATTTTACTTAATCAGCCTGTATGTTATTTTAAGAATATATACCTCTTATTGTACCTGTTAAAATTTAATGTAATGTATCAATAAACTATTTATCTCTTGTGTGTTCTTAATAATAAGCATTAATGTATATATAGTTTGCCCATCACTTCTTCTCATTATGTGCCTGAGGACGACGGGGGAAACACGTCGAAACGTTGCATAAAACTTTAACCAGTGATTGTTGTTCCATAAAGCTGTGTCTATATATCTATATACTATGTCTGGGTATAGTAGTTAATGAAGCGATATAAAAATTAACATTGTGTCAATACTATATATATTTGACTATGTGCACCAATAGCTCGGAAATACCGTTACAACTCGGCCCTACATAATTCAACATACAATGAACGCGTGAAAGAAGACTTTTACAACTACAAAAATTTACATCAACGAATAAATAATTAGTAGACATTTTACAATAGAAAAATATATAAATTTCTTGTAAAGAATAATGACTCATTTGTCTTGTTCAAAGAACGCTTATAGTTAATGAATTTAATTTAAATTGACAAGAATATTAGCTTCTTTATACTCATCTGAATCATTAAAAAAGAAATTGTCTTCTCTTTCTAATATTTAACGCGAAAAAAAGTATTTTCGTGAATTTTCTTAATTCCTTAATCAGTTACATGCCATTTATTTCCATGACATGAGACGAATGCTTATTATGTTGTAATATACTGTTTTTTTTTTTCGACAATTATTGCATTTAGGTCAAGGAAATGTCATTGATATTTTTCCTTACGATGTATTCCTGCGAGTGTAAAGCTTTCTAATTAGTTACATTAACAGCTTCTATTTCTCATTTATATCCCTTTTCAGAATTACATTCAGACGTCCAGTTTAATCAAACTAACACTGCTTTATTCCTTGTCGTCTCTGTCTTCGGTACTTTTATTTAATTGTAGATGAACCGAACATCTGATTTTAAATCTGAGAATATTGAAAATGAGTTCATTCAGTTGATAAAGCAAATAATTACACAATCATATCGCTCAATAATAATTTTAAGGCGTGAAACTGGCTTTGGGTGAATTTCTTGATGAACTTCCAGATGGCGGTGGCTCAGTGAGTTAGACGCTTGCTCGCTAACCTAGAGGTCCAGGCTTCAATCACGACAAAGGTTGGGATTTTTCAACCCGGTTTCCCTCTGTCAGTGATGTAAGTAAGAGGGACTGACATGGAAAGAGCGTCTAGTCGTTAGAATGGAACAAGTAAACCGAGGCCTCGTGTGCTACAGACTTTGTACGTTAAAGATCACTCAACATAAAAAAAAGGGCAGACTAATTCCGCTGTTTGGGCAATTATTATTTCTTATTATTTATTATGGTGCAGAAAAGTAGAAGTAAAACTCCATTCATTTTATTTCATTAGATGAACTTCCTGTAGTAGCTTCATCGTCATTTTTTTTTTAAATCCTGTAAAATTAATAGTTACCCTTTAAATAACTTAATGTTGGGATACCACGAAATTTTCGTCGCTCTCCAAGAGTCTCTCGTATTTATAATATTATATTGATATTTCGTGTAACTGTCATTTATAAGAATTAAATAGATTGTACTGTACAGTTATTTGAAATACATTGAGCCAAAAGAAAACACGAATAAATGCTACTGTAAAGCTGTAATTGCTGTTTAGTAATTTCCTAGTATATTTCAAGGAATTGTGCGATTTTTGTAAATTTTTAGTACTTCTGGAGATTATTTACATATATTCAAGACCCAAAGCAACTTGCCAAAATGGCAAACATGGCCTTTAATAGGTTATAGAAGTTGAGATGACGTTAACAATGCGACTGATTGAATTCATGATTGCTCTTCTTCAGCATTGTATCTCAAATCAAGAAAAAAAAGTTTCGTGTCAAATATAAGTGGGTCTTGTCAAGTGTGTAAGATTAAAACTGCACTATCAGAATCAGTACGTTACACGGAAGTCTGTTGAAATGATTGATTCATGGCCTGTGTTTAAATTTCAGATTATTTCAACTTATCCATCAATTAGTTGTTTAAACAGCGGTCGATCTGGAGATCAGGTCCGATTTCGATGTTTTACATAATGTGAAAGAATGAAAATGATCATAATAACATGCTAGATGATAAACCAAAATATCTGCTTCTCTTCCAGTCTCTATTTTGAAAGTTGTCGGCTGGTGTAGAGACAGAAAAACTAAGCCCTGTTTTATTTGCTTTTTAAAACCTATTTATTTAAATCGGATTCTCCAAACCCAAATATATTGGGAAAGATGGGTATTTCGGTCAAAGTTCGGTAATACCATCATAATCCCACTATACACCATCAATTTATGTCAAGTCTGCGGTTCCTGGCATTGTCTATTGTCATTCCTTCCATTCGAAGAAACTCATACCGCTGTCTAT